GGGAGAAGGAGAAGGGGGAGGAGGAGCAGGAGGAGGAGGAGGAGGAGGAGGAGGAGGAGCAGGAAGGAAGTCTCGACCCACTCCCCAGGACCGGCTTTCCATCCTGAGCCGTTGTTTGACGGTCCCGCGGCCCAGCGAGGGCCTCTGGAGGCCGAATTTTGTGAAACGCCTCCGTCTTGACTCTTTTTGAATGCGTTGGATCTCTGGGCAACAAGAACATGCCAGAATCTACTGAAAAACGGCCTCAGGCTGAACTCGGCCAGCTGAGCTCGGCCAGGCCGCCTGCGGCCCTGGCCGAACTCACCGAGCTCAACCTGGTCGCGGTCAGCCGGCCGATCCCGCCTGGGCCGTATAGCGCACCCATGTGGGGACCCCAGGCGCTCCCAGGCGCTCCCATGAGATCATGGCGTTGCAACTTGTTGACAACGGGCGTCCTCGTCCGCTTCCGGGTCCCGGGACCCTCACAGATCGATGCACTCCGAACTCTGGCGCAGGAGCCCAGACCACCGCCGCCTTGATCTTTTCAAAGCGTCGACTCTCAGAGGTCTGGAACCTTTTTAAACCTGAGATGTTTTTGACGCTTCCGAGGCCCAGTAAGGGCCCCCGGAGGCTGAAACAACGAAAAACCTCCCATCGCGTTTTTGTTCACAACGCGAGGGGCTCTGGGAACATGGGGCCCTGGTGATTCTGCGATCTTGTATCTCTTCGTGGCAACGTCGGATCTGAGGGGTGCCAGGGCGCCTCCGCGCGGCGCCGGAAGAGGCGCGGGCGATATGCGCTTGTTCGCGCCGGCCTCCCTCCTCCTCGTTCTCCTCCTCCATTTTCTCCCCCTCCTCCTCCCTCCTCCAGTTCCGTCGCCTCGCCCCAGACGAACCAGAGGTTGCTCTTTTTCCGCTTCGCGAAAATCAGTCTTGGAGGGCTTGAGAACTAAGTTGTAATATTCCTCCTCCTCATCCTCCTCCCCCACCCTCCTCCTCCTCCTCCTCCTCCTCCTCCTCCTCCTCCTCCTCCTCCTCCTCCTCCTCCTCCTCCTCCCCCTCCTTCCATATCCTTTTCCATGGCGCGGACTTTGCCAGTGTGAACCGTAGGGTATGTCCTCCACCTCCACCTCCTCCTCCTCCTCCTGCTGCTCCCCCTTTTCCTCCTCCTCCTCCTCCTCCTCCTGCTGCTCCCCCTTTTCCGCCTCCAGTGTCCTCCCCCTCCTCCTCCTCCTGCTCCTCCTCCCTCCTCCTTTTTGCGTAGCGCGGGCTTTGGCAGTGTGAGCCGTGGCATCTGTTTGCAACACGCTGATTGCCCGGCACACAGAACGCATGGCGTAGCCTGAGACGCACTCACTGCACATCGTGGATGCAAGAGTCCAAGGCTCCACGCTGTTCAACATGCTACTGCAAAGTGAACGCGGGCTTTTCAGGAGCAGGGACCTGGCCACTGGGGCGTCCCTTGGACCTTGCATCAACACAGGCGCTGCGACGCATGCGCGTCAACGTTGATACGATGTACCGTATATAGCCGAGCGTGTGCCTGGTTATCTGACTTGGCGGCGCTCGATTTTGTCTCACCGAAACGTATCCGCCTCGTCCTCCTCCTCGTTCACCATCTCTGTAGCCCGCTTCCTGGACTTCCCCGCCGCTCTCCCACACTCACCCGCCTCTCCCATGTCGCAGACCCACTCCACTGCAACCGCCCACGCCCACCTCCTTCCCCGCCTCCCCACCCCAGCCTCCCACATCTGCCGCCTCCTCACCGCGCCTCCTCATCATCAGCGGCCTCACCCCGCCTCCTCCTCCTCTCCCAGCCTCCTCGTCCCCTCATCCCCTCCCCCTGCTCCTCCTGCTCCTCCTGCTTCTCCCCTATCATGCATCCTGCTCCTGCTCCTCCTGCTCCTGCTCCTGCTCCTGCTCCTGCTCCTGCTCCTGCTCCTCCTCCTCCTCCTCCTCCTCCTCCTCCTCCTCCTCCTCCTCCTCCTCCTCCCCCTCCCCCTCCTCCTCCTAACCCTGCTTCCCGCCCACCTCTGTGGCTCCTCCGTTTCTTCCCCGCCTTCCTCCGCCGTGCTGGGGCGGAAGCGAGCCGTGGCCCGCGTGCTCCCCCTGCTGCTGCCGAGACCCGCCTCGGGCGGGCGCGCCCTGCCTGGCACGCCACGCTGGCGCGCGCTGTTCCGACTGCCGGCCAGGCCACCCCAACCCATCCCGAACACCCGGACTTCGGGTTAGGGGGGGCTCGGGCTTCACATGTGTTTTTTCCATGTTCCCCGACCCCCCCCCCCCCACACACACACACTGGAGTTGGAGGGCGACTCGGGGCCTTCGGGTTGGATTGGGTGGATTGGTGGGCGGCGCTGCTCGGGGGCCGAACGATCCAACCCCCGGGGGGCCCGTCCTGGGCCGCGCGCCGAGCCGGCCGCGGCGACTTGGGTCCAGCCGTGGCGGCGGCGCTCCCCCTCCACCCCCGGGGGCCCAATCCCCCGATCCTTTGGGAAGGGACCTACGTCAGGAAGCCCAACAACATTAGGGATATGTTTTTTTTTGGTGTTGCGGCTGCCTCACATGAAACAAACCCACACGTTTAGTGATAGCCCAGAACCCGAGGACCTAAGTTAGGCCACGGATCCGTTGTGCTACTAGGCGCTCGTGGTTGTAGTATGCTTAATGACACAGGGGGCCGCAACATTCATACACACACGCGCACACTAAACGGTTAGCCTGGAACCTCGAGCATCCGAGGCTGCAGCAATTTCGAAGATTGAGGGCGGCTCCTTTCCAAAACGTGATCTTCGCCATAACGCCGTGCACATTCGTCTTGACTGCTTGCACGAGGTTTCAAAGACACGTGTGGCTGAAGTCCAAGAAGTGGTGTCCTGGTGCGACCAAAAATGGTCACGACGCAACTGTCGCGTCGAGTCGAAGTGTCGGAATCCCAGGATTAGGACGAGAAGAATCTATTGACACAACGTGCTATTGATACGTTCCGGGGATTGCGGGATTTCAAACAACCTTCGCGCGGTGTAGAGTTTGCGTCGAGTATTGTCTACTCTGGCTGGCGCCGCTGGTCGGTCACCCATTCGCAATCGAATGGTCGCCCGTAGGGAGCTATTTGGCACTTGCTGATCCCCCTTCTCGTTGCCGAGCGCGGGGGGGACGGTGGCGCACCGTCGCATCGCCCGCCGCTGCGCACCGCGCGCCTCGTCAGATTTTCAAAGAAGGCAAATCGCGCGCGACTCTGGAAAGTTCCCCGGGGGTAAATTGGGAAAACAAAAACGTGTTTGAAATGATCCGGGGCCGATTTTGAAATAATCCGGGACCGATTTTGAAAACAAAAAAAAACCGTTTTGGAAAACTCTAGATATCAGAATTCTTCAGATGTCCTCCGTGGCGGGCGCATTCCACCCCTCAGAATTGTTTGTTTGAAAATGTCCGGGCTCCTGTTGGACAAATTCTGGAACCACTTGCGCCAAAATAACGAACGGAAGCGTTTTCTGAAACATTCTACACTCCAGGAATCATTTCCGGGCGGTCCGACGGGCGCGGCCGGCTGATTCACGCACCGCGCCGCGCGCGATTGGGCGCATCTCGCGCCGCGCGTTGCGCCCGCGAACAGCACTCGAAGGGGTCACTTCGAAAACAGCGCCGCGGCAGCTGCGACTCGCGGGCTCCCCAATAGCCACACAGCATGCAGCTTGCAATTTCCGAGGGCGCTCCGATGCGCGAAAAATACACCGCGCACATCACGCAGACAACCTGCGCGACGGAATGCGCCAGCCGTCCGCGGCCAGCCGAAGAAAGACGGTCAAGCATTGGTCTGCGCATGGCCACGCGTCGCGTTATGTGGTGAACGTGCGAGACAGCACGCAATGCAGGACAGTACGTAATGCCAGCGACTCAGCGTCAAAAAACTACGTTGCTTCACCTCCGTTCAACTGCATCCTGGACATGGGAATACAGTGGGGCTCGACCACAAGAAACCTTCCACAAGAAACCCAACCCTGAGATCCTTGGTGTGGGAACGTCGCGCCCTCCATTGCAAAATCATCAAGACCCAAGAAACCCAGGGCACCCTGGAGGCAAGCAGGGTGTTTCTTAGCATGGGCCTCCACTGTAATCTGAATCGTGCTGTCTGGCCGCGACGCCTCCACGATCCACGCTGCTGCCACGGACCCGGGCCCTCGGCGGCCGCTGGTAGTGTTCATGCCACGAGCACCCGGCACCCAGATTGACGTTGGCGATGCCTTCGGCCTTCGCGTTGATGTTGCGCGTTTTTTTGCATCACGGGGTCCAAGTGGCTCTGATGGAGAAACCACCCCGCTTCAAGCAAGCGTGCAATACGGCAACACATCCTGTGTGATATGGTTGTGTTGCAGGGACCCCTCAGGGAGAATACCACCCATAACCAAGTCCAGCAATGGTTGCTATGCCAGGGTATACCAGTGGATGATGTCTTCGTCGATGCCGCTTTCGTGGTAAGCGGGCAATCCTCGATCAGGTACTTCTGCATCCGGCCTCGTTTGCATGGGGCCTGACAGGCCTCATCTGGAGAGAACTCTGGCGATGGGGCAAATGTTGGCAGGCAGATGTTATCAACATGGTGGATCCAATACTTCAGGGACGCGCATTTATTTCGCCTGGTAAGTCATCGAAAGGAACGGAAAAGCACGTTGATCCGCAGCGCTGGAAACACAGAAATTCGGAATGATTGAGGCTTCTCAGACATTTGTTTTCTGATGTGCAATTTCACGCCGTAACAACAAAGATTGCAGAGCTTATGGGGAAGGACCTTGGAGGGAGGGAGTATTGCAACATCATTTATGTGTCTTGGGTTTACTCTTGAACTTACCCTCTTCCTCCTCCTGCGCCTCCCCCTCCTCGAAAATCCAATGAGAAGCGCGCGCGCATCTCTGTCCGCCTCCTCCCCCTCCTCCTCGACCGCATCCCCCTCCCTGATCCTTATCGACTCCTCCTCCTCCTCCACCTCCTCGTCCTCCTCCTCCCTCGCTACTGGCACCGAACCTGTGCCTTCAGGTTGTTGCAGAGCATCTGGATCGGGGCGACGTCCCCGCGCACCTCCTGCATGGCGCGCGCGTCGGACTCCTGAGGCGTCGGCCGCCGCCGCCATCTGTGTAGAGGTCCCAAGAGCCCAAGAGTGCGGAGGGTCCCGTTGCGGGCGTCATTCTTCTGAGGGTTGCTCTGCGACGTCGCGCTGTGACGCGCAGCGTTGTGCTGCACGCGTGCGTGTGTGTTGGTGTGTGTGTGTGTGCGTGTGTGTTGGTGTGTGTGTGTGAGCGTGTGTGTGTGTGTGTGTGTGTGTGCGTGTGTGTGTGTGTGTGTGTGTGTGTGCGTGTGTGTGTGTAGGTCACTGTGTGTGCCTGTCTGTGTGTTTGTGTTTGTGCGCGTGCCTGTGCGAATGCTCGCTTGTATGATTTACGCCTCTGAAGCAAACAACACGATGACAAGTAATCACGAGACGCAGGGAGGACAAGACACACTGCATCTAACAAAAGACGAACACTTCACGCCAAGACGTTGGACTTTATGTTCAACAAAACACAGCATGGGTTCAGGATGTTCCCTTTGTTTATTTCAGATGTTTCGGTATCGTCCCGTGGTTTCACACCTGGCTTCCGCGCTGGGGAAATCAATCCCCTTCCCTCAAACTGAACATCGCAAACACGACCGTAACGGCATGCACCACACAACGTGGACAACCGAATCAATCGAGTGAAGACAAATCGAGAACCTCTGAGATCTGGCGGCTCTGGAGGATGTCTCGGGCGCCGCTCTGGGATCTTCTGACCCGGGTCAATCCAGACCCGGGTCAGCAGGAAACCAAAAACTGCAATGCAGGAAAACAAAAACTGCACCGCAGGTCTTCGCAGACCCAGGTCAGCCAATACGCGCGGCCGCCTCGCGGCCACGAGCGGCTCCCTCACCCGGGTCAGCCAGAGGGGGTCTTCGCAGGATCCTGCAGGATCTGGCGCCCTGGCTGACCCCCGTCTGTATTGACCCCCGTCTCAAGGCTCCCGAGCCGCGGCCTTTGAGAGCGTTCCGGGACGCTCCGAGAGCTTTCTGCAGCGCTCCGAGAGCGTTCTGGGAACGCCCTGGAACGAATTTGTCCCCGCCCTGGCCCCGTCCGAACTCGGCCAACGAAAGGGGCCCTAGGACACACAAATAAATCCACACAAATAAAAAGATTCCCCATATTTTCCAATATTTTCTGGGTTTTTGTCTTCCCCCCCACTTCCCATATTTTCCCATATTTTCTGGGGAATCGCCGATTAATTGTGTCTGTGTGTTTCTTTCCCTCCTAACCAACGCGCGTCCTGAACCAGGGGCGCGCAAACATGGATTAGCGATCCATGGGTTTGGCGCGCGGTCGCCACATCCAGTGATCGGGGGCGGTGCCCCCCCCCCGACGTGCGGCTGATGATGCCTCGCTCGGCGGCGGAGATTCGCGACTTCTCATGGAAACGGGACCCATGGCTAGTGAGCGTTTTTTTTATATTCGGCGTTTCGACACTGGGCGCGGAAGGGGGGGGGGAGGGGAGGGGTCTGGCTCTGGACCTCTGCTGAGTGCGACTGTTTGCAGCACTGGGTCCTATGAGGGGAGACTCCACCTGCTCGAAACAGGCGCCGACAAAAAAACAGCCAACATCCACTCCATAGGGGGGGGGGTGAGGGGGGCCCGCGCCGATCGGCACAACAATGAATCAACAACGATCACCAATCCACGCCCCCTTGATCCATGTTTGCGATCGCCTGACCCACCGCTCGCCTTCCGTTGGCGTCGTCCGTCGTCGCCGCCGTCGTCGGCCTCCATCCTCCCCCCACCTCCTCTCGCGCAGGCGCTCGGCCTTGCATCTGTGCCCCTGCTCACGCCCCGACCCACATGAGGGGGGCCGGACCAGGGATCTGTACCCGTCATCTCTCCTCCTCCTCCTCCTCCTCCTCCTCCTCCTCCTCCTCCTCCTCCCTTTCCTCCTCCTCCTCCTCCTCCTCCTCCTCCTCCTCCTATCCTCCTCCTCCTCCTCCTCCTCCTCTCCTCCTCCTCCCTCCTCCTCCTCCTCCTCCTCCTCCTCCTCCCTTTCCTCCTCCTCCTCCTCCTCCCCTCCTCCCCTCCTCCTCCTCCTCCCCTCCTCCTCCTCCTCCTCCTACTCCCACTCCTCCTCCTCTCCTCCTCCTCCTCCTCCTCCTCCTCCTCCTCCTCCTCCTTCTCCTGACTGAAGATCGTCGATCGGCAGCGGTCATCCCGTCGAAAAAGGCCCCCTCCCTCCCCGCGCGCAGCCGGCAGCGGCGGCGGCGGCGTCGGCGGCGGCCGGAGGGGCCCGCCCGCCTCAGGCGACAGGCGCACGTTGTTGCCGGCGCCGCACGCCTGCAGCGCCACGAAGAGCTCCGCCACGGTCGTCGTGCCAGAATTCCTGGAGGAAATAAAGCGCGCCGACCTTTCTATCCTCCTCTTCTTTTTATTATTCACCTCCTCATCCTCCAACTCCTCCTCCTCGTCCTCATCCTCCTCCTCGTCGTCCTCCTCCTCCATTTCCTCCTCGTCCTCGTCGTCCTCCTCCTCCATTTCCTCCTTGTCCTCGTCTTCCTCCTCCTCCCCCTCCTCCTCCTGCTCCTCCTCCTCCTGCTCCTCCTCCTCCTGCTCCTCCTCCTCCTGCTCCTCCTGCTCCTCCTCCTCCTCCTCCTCCTCCTCCCCCTCCCCCTCCTCCTCCTCCTGCGCCGCCTCTACTCTTCGCGCCGATCAAGATCGAAGGGGAAAACATGAAAATACATAGAGATGAGCAAGCCGAGGGAGGGGCGGGGCTAGGGCGGGCGGTCCTCGCCTCCGCCGCATGTTTCCACCACTCCTCCGACGCCCCTGCTTTGAGGGGCCAAGGTTTGCTGATATGGTGGCCTCTGGGCCACGGGAGTTTGCCAGCCGCCAAGGTCCTGACCTGGGCCTTGTAGATCTTATTGCACGGCTCGAACAATCTGCGAGGGGTCCCACGCTCCGCACTTCTTGCAACAAAAACCTGTCTCAGGGCAACTGGAGACCCAGAGGCGGCGGCCTTTGCCAGGGGCGTCCCGAGGGGTCCCCAGGGCCAGCAGACTCGGAGTTAGAGACGCACAACAACTACTGCATCCATCAGGCCTGACCAAAGTGCGGGCACAAGCGATGCACTGCCACCTGGTGCCGTTCCAGCGGCAGTTGTGTAAAGTGCCTGGGGCCAGGGTCTTGGGGGCACGGGCGCGGGGGAGCCTAGACAAACCCTCGACAAACTCCTTGGACCCTGGCCACAGTTCGAGCATACTGGGCATCGCCTTAGCCACTTTGAGCCCTTGTCAAAGGCCAGGGAAAATCACAACTCGATGTCTTAGGCAGGAAGGTGCATCACGGCTTCTCGTTTAGCATCAGCATCTGCCTGATTATTTCTCGGATACCTAGCAGAGTGGTGGGGTCGGTCTCATCCTCTGCCCTCGAGTGTGCTTTCACATTCGTCAGTGTCAAGGGCGGGTATCTACCGTCGTCCACTTTACGCCAGATGTACGCAGAGCTGGTGGTCCCGTCGATACTCCTGCGAGGTAGACCCGCCCCTTTCATCAGGGCGACGCAACCAACCTCGGCGGCAAAGAGCGGCAGTTTCGAATTGGCCTGCATCAGCCCGCGTAGCATCGCCAAGGGTTCTCCAAGCATCGGTGCCTCCGCCCAGATATGGCCTTCTTGAAGGGCCCCCCCTGGTCCGCTGCAGCCGCTCACCCGAGCTGGAAAATGCGGGCCCGAAACAACTCGCGTCGACGAACAGTCCGTCCACATTCCTGAATGCGACAGGCTCCTGGGGCCCATGCTCGTCCATGCACTCGACAAACTCACCCATATCGGCGACGCGTAACAGTGACCCTAGGCAAGAATGCCCTTTGGTGCGCGGCCTTAGGGGGGCCCGCGGGGGCCTGGAGCAACCGCGCAAGCCGAGGCCGTCGGATTGCCTCAACGATCGGTGGGGCGCGCTTCGGTAGATCCCTAGCGCCAGCAGGCAATTGCGGACTTCCGCCAATTCTTTCCGCGCGCCCCAGAACACCCGCCCGAGGTCTCTGCGAAACCAGACGTGATCGGGCGCCACCGCGGAATGTTCTGGCACTGCCGGGGCGCATCGCGATGACGTCTGACCGGGCCCGGCGCCAAGGCCGAAACCGGGCCGAAACTTGCCCCCCCCCGCGGCCGCAAATAACTTTCAATCGTAAAGAATTGAATTGTAAAGCGCGGAATGGGAAAAGTTATTCAAAGTTAGTCAAAATTATTCCAAGACGATTTGGGACTGGCCCCGAAGCGGAGAGCACGTCGCCCGCTCGACTGAGCCCCCCCTCGCCAAACGAAGCACGCGGCAGAATGCACCGTGCATGCGTTGCGATCGATTGCGAGGGGCACACCCTGAATCAAGCGCGCTCCGATGCGATCGCAGACTGGTGCAGCGTGCGCCGACGCAAGGCCGAGCGCGCTCCTCGAGAAAATCTGTCCGACCCATATTAAGGCCAATACGAAAGGTCACTCTGGCCAAGGGTCACTCTTACGTGTAGCCGACCATAAGAGGTGGGGCCCGTCGCCCGGGAACAGGGGCCCAGAGGCGTCCGAATCAAGTGGCCCCCCAGGTCCAACAAAAAGAGCTTCCTGGGTAACGTCCTGATCGGCGGTTTCTGATATTGCTGCGTCCTTGGCGGGGCACCCCCATGCGCGGTGCCGAGTTGAGTCCGTGCTCGCCCCGCGCCGGCTGTGCAGCGGCGAGAGCTGGCGGCCCCAGTGGTGGGGCATCTCTGCTGCGACGTAGCTCCTGCAAAAGACCCGCCTGGCAATGTGTCTCTGCCTGGCTGACCTCTTCGAGCTATTCCAACATATATTGGGCGGGGGGGCCCATGGCCCTCGGTCTCTGATCTCACCGTCCTTGCGGAGGGGGCCTCGGGAGTCCGAAGGTGCCTGGGGCCTCGGGGTGATCTCGGGCCCTGGCGGGACCTGTCCGATGTCCTCGACGACTTAGCCCTTGACGGTGATTGGGGGGGGGGGGGGGGGTCGGTGAAAAGGAACTCGAATCCATCTGGCCCCCCTACCCTCGCAGCGCGTGCAAGCACCCAGCCCGCTTGCTGGGCCCAGCAGGGCATGCCCCCTAAGACCCCGAAGCTCTCCTTGGGCCAGCTGGAGTTCCTGGGGAGGTCCTCGAAGCACAGCTAACCTAGGTCGAAGGCCTAGTTGAGCTCCAAGCGGGAGAGGCCGTCGTAGGCCTTCAGCTTGCCATTGGTGGCCATCCACCACTCTCTGCAGTCTCTGACCAGACTGGCCGCTGCGTGGCCGATGGGGTCCTTGTCAGGGTCGAAGGCCCCGCTGCAGGCTGGCCCCTGCCGAACTTAAACCAAGCGCAGCAGCCCCATGTCGTCCCATCTGCTCGATCTCTCCAGGGAACCAGCCCTGCAAGGGCCAACAGCTTGATCAGGCGGCCCCAGGCTTTGGTC